CGCACCCATCCACCAAAGCAGTGGCTGGAAGGTATGATGCCACGGGATGTGGCTCATCTCTCCTGATGGGCAGAGCGGATCCAGCGCCCTTCTCCACATCCCACTTACCCTTCTTCTGGATGATGACCCTGAGGAGGGGGTTGGCAGAGGACAGGGCTTTGTGATAGTTGTCATCGTTGTTGATGGGCAGGAGGTCTCCATGGATGTCTGTGTAGCCCAGGAGCACGTCCACCCGTGGGATCTGGTGCACTGTCTGCAGCAGCTGGTAAAAGTCCTGGAAGCTGCCCGCGCCGGAGCGCTTCATGGCGAAGCGGCGGAATTCAGCATCGAACTGTGGAGGAGGAGGAGGAGGAAGAGGAGGACGAGGGTGAGACTGGGCAGGGTTGGCTCTGGCCGGCAGGACTGATGAAGGTAGGGCACCACACAGAGCTGCCCCAGGGCAGGCAGAGCCAGGCACTGCCGGCTCCAGAGCCCAGCAGCACCAAGGCAGCAACACCAGCCGGGCAGAGCTCGTCCCAAAAACAAAGTAAAAGGAGCGAAGGCGTTTTCCTGCCCAAACATCGAAGTGACAGGGTGAGAGAGGTGCCCCCGAGGCAGAGGAAGGACCCTCCGGCTGCACGACCAGCCATGGCAGGCTCTGTGCTGCCGGGAGGCCCTTCCCTGCGACATGGGCACTGCCGGAGCACCTGGTGAGCAACAGCGTTAATTAAAGCCTCCTTCCGTCACGACGAGGGGGAAGCCAATTAAGAACATGCTGAGGAACGCTGCGAGGATGGCGCTGCCCGCGGGGGTCACACCTTGGCTGTTGGGGCAGGCGGTGGCCCCCATGCCCTGGGAAGGAGGGCACACTGCACCCCGACAGGGGTCCCGGACAGGCAAGGGCACAGCTGGGCAAGTGCACAGCTGGATAAGGGTGAAGAAATGGAGTGCGAACATCTGGGTAAGCACGGGGATGGTTGGTGGGCACAGGTGGATGCATATCTGGGTGAGGGCACGCGTCTGGGCAAGGGTGTGCCGAGTGAGCGCACATCTGGATGAGCAGACACGTCTGCAATAGACCACATCTGGGCGAGCGCACAGCCATGCAGGTGTGCACATCTGGACGCACAACAGGGGCTCGCCCCTTGCTGGGGGTGCCCAGCTGTGTGAAGGCATAGCCGGGGGGTGTGCACGCCTCGGCGAGCGCGCACATCTGGGCGAGAGCACATCTGGGCAAGGTGTGTCCCCGGGGTGACCGCGCACCCAGCGCACCCGCACCGGCGGGGCCACCCTGCACACGGGAGCTGCCGGCGCGGCTCACCGGCGCCCTGCGCATCTGGCGGGCGCTCCGCCGCGGCGCTCCCACGGCCGCGCCGAGCGATCCCGCGGCCCCGCAGAGCGCACGGTGGCGGGACGCCGCGCCCCCGGGCCGGGCCGGGCTCGGGGAGGCTCCGTGCAGCGCCGCCGCAGCGCAGCGGAGCGGAGCGCCCGCACGGCCTGGCTGCCGCGCCGCTCCCCGGTGCGCGGTACCCGCCCCACGTGTGCCGCCCGGCGCGGGGGCGACGGCGCCCGGTGGCGACCCGGCGGAACCGGCACCGACATCGGCATCACCGGCGCCGTGCCCGGCGGGCGCTTACCTTGCTCTTGACCTCGATGACGGGCTCGGCGGAGCGCGCGGGCGTGCGGTGGTGCTTGGCCATGGTGCGGGCCGGGCCGGGCCGCGGGGCCGCGCCGCCACCGCCGCTCCCGCGGCCACGGGGGATTTTCACCGGCCATGACGTCACCGGCGGGCCGGCCGGGCCCCGCCGCGCCATTGGCCGGGGCCGCGCGGGGGGCGTGGCCCGAGGGCTCCTGACAACGTCGCCGTGGTAACGGGGGCGGGAGCGGGCGGGCGGCAGGACCCCCGTCCCTGTCTCCAGCCCTGTCCCTGTCCCCAGCCCCGTCCCTGTCCCCAGCCCCGTCCCTGTCCCCAGCCCCGTCCCTGTCCCCAGCTCCATGCCCGACACCTCGGCCCCGCCCGGCCCGGGCACCGCTCCGCTTGCCAACGGGACGACGCCGCGCTGGGACGGCAGCGGGCACCGCGCCGGTAATCCCAGGCGTCCCATCGCTATCAAGAACCTCTTTAGCGGCAAAGTGAAGCCAACAGCATGTCCAGCACCCCCACTGCATCCCCACGAGTGTCACCGGCGGAAGCCTTGGCCCCACCTGGGGATATCCCGGTGTTTCCCCATGCTGGTGGAGGGCCCTGCCTCTCCCATCGACCCGGCACTGCTGCTCCCTGTGCCACCGTTTTGGTGGCCTTTGGCAGAGGCACCTCTGGTAGCAGAGGACAGTTTCCAGCTGTGCCCTTCATTTCCTACCTGCTGGTTAAAGGTTCCCTCCAGTTTTTCTCCCCTGTCTGGCAGGAGAGTTTTGTGCCGCCCTGGAGCAGCACAGGCCAGGGAAGGTTCACTATTTCGGGGATGAGTTGCTTTACTGAGTGGTGGAACAACCGAGTGAGAGGATGAGAAATGCTCGAGTTCACTGGGTGTGCATCAAAGCCTCGCTGTGCCTATCCCAGCACCAGGTCGCCAGGACATGTAGCCAGAGCACATCTCCTCAGTGCTGCTGGGCTGTGTCCACAGGTACCCTCAGGATGTGGCTCCAGCAGAACTGTCCCTGCTCAGGCACCGAAACATCCAGGGACAGGCAGGCAGCCCCTTCCCTGCAGACCCCACGGCGGAGCTGGAGCACACTGAGAGCTGCCGGCACCGGGGTCACCAGCACTGATCCAGACCAAAGTCTTGTTCATGGTCTCCAAGGAATCTTGGAGCCAAAGGGGCCATGACAGAAGCGCCATGAAATGTTTTTTAAAGCCAGACACCTAATGAGCACAGCACTTCCAACAGAATGAAATAATTGAACTGAGTCCAAAGAATCAGCCTGGCTTGTCTGGATCACACCCCCCTTTGACCCTCGCTCTATCCCAGCCCACGGAGCAACCTTTGGATGGCACAAAATTGCATCAGACCCCGGCTTTTAAACAGAGTAATTGTGCTGAGGTCAGAGAGATAATCCTGATTTACAACAGAGTTAATATTTACGCAGGCACTGGTGACAAAAGAAGCTTGCAGCTCTTCATCTCCAATTTTGGTAAATCAGGGTTAATTGTTCAGCAGGACCGTGGGGTGACGTGCTGGTCACACCTTCTGCTTTGTGGCATGGCTCCAAATCTGCTGCCACAGAGAGAGTTAAGCTAAGCAGACAGTATCAGGGCAGGCATTTGTTTTGCTTCAGTCCTAGGAGCTCTGAATCAGTCTCTGGAACTGGAGCATGTGGTACCAAATGTCCAGACGTGCCCACTGACTCCAAATCCACCAGTTCTTGGCTGCTCTGGGTGAGGGCAGTGAGGGCCTGACTCTCCAGGGGGCTTAGCATGCCCAGGCTTGGAGTGGGGCTGCAGAGGTTTAGCACTCAGGTAGGTGGTTCCTCCAGCCCCTGCTCCAAGCCAGGTCAGCACTGGGTTCAGGTAGGTTTGTCCAGCACATTCCTGTGAATAGGCAGTTTTCCCAGCAATGGCTCGGGCAGGGGATGGGCAGTGGGCAGCTCAGGTGAGCTCTGCCCCTCCTGCCTGTGACAGGGGGGAGAAACACAGGAGCCTGAGCTCATGGCAGACTGGCTGTGGCTACAGAGGCTCACCTGGTCCATTGGCCAGCAACTGCACAGGGAGTCCCAGCAAAACACAAACTCAGAGCCTGAGATCCTGGTTTTACTCTGACATCTCCACAGCCTTACCCTGTCCCTGCCATCCACAGGAGCCCTCTGGGCACTCCAAGCAAAGGCTACAACCAAGTGAGCAGAAAAGTCACCTTGATGCTATTGGGGGACATTGTCAAGGGTGGCCCTGGACACTGCGTTTGCCTTTCTTTCCCTCTTCCATTGCCATTAGGAGCTGGGGGTCAGGAATCATAGCCTGTGCCAAAGGAGCAAGAGGAGCACAGAGAGGGCAGAGCAGGCAGGAGCACAGCCTCAGTGCTGCCTGTGGGATGTAACAGAGGAATGGGCTCCGATGGCGTTGTCCACCCTCACAAGGATGTACCCTGGCAGCCGTGGAGGGTTCGTCGGACCAGACCCAGGCTCAGCTCATTTCTTTATGATTTTGTTTTCTCGGCGGCAGTGCCCCGTGGCTCAGCTCTTCCCCGGGGAGGATGATGCACCCCCATGTCTTCTCTGGCTGCAAAACCCGGTGCTGGCTGCGGACTCATCCGTGCCTTCGGGCAACAGGTCTGGCTGCCAAGGAACAGTGAGCAGCTCCCGAAACACGCAGAGTAAATAAATACCTGGTGCCGAGATATAAAACTGCTTCTCGTATCCCTACGGTTTGGTTTCAAAGGACGCGAAAACCCCCTCCTGGTGCACCGGGATCATTACCACTGTTTTTCCCGATGCTTGGTCGCATCTCAAAGGAAGATGGGCGCGAGGAGGACGACTCAGAAGCTCCTGGTCCACATTTGCACGTCTTTTTATTTTTTTTTGTCAGTAAAAATTTCATTAATTATGAAAAATAATAACTGCACACTCCTTTTGGCCCCGCGCAGAAGCGCGGCGTGTCCTGTCCCCGCAGAGTCAGCAGCAAACCCGCTGAGGCAGCTGCGCAGATCTGATAAAACAACCACAGGGTGAAAAAGGGGATGTTTCACCTGGACCAGGCAGGGTGCAGCACCTGCCAGGGCCCCACAGAGCTGTGCTGCCCCGACGGGCGGAGGGGAGAGGGAAGAGCGAAGCCAGGGGGTCTCTAAAAACAGTGTTGCTGCTGGGGCTGACGTTGTGGAGGGCGGGAGGACAGTGGGCACAGAAGGGACAGCGGAGACAGCAGCACAGTCCCTGCACGGCCGCCATCCCCTTACGGTCCGGGCGGGGCGTAGCACGGTCCCCATGGTGACGCTGTAACCCCGCCCCTCGCCCGGCACCGCCCAATCAGCGCCCCCGCCTCCTCGCGGCGGAGCACGCGGGGCCCCGTCCCATTGGCCCACGTAGAAGTCCCCGCCCCCTCACCCGCCACGTCGAATCAGGTGCAGCCACCGCGGCCCTGCGGCGGGGCGGGCCCCTATAAAAGCCTTCCCGGAGGGAAAACGCCGCCGCCGCCCGTCCTGTCCCGTCCCCGTCATGGAGGAGCCGCTGGCGCTGCTGGTGCGGAGCCCCTCGGGGCGGCACGACGACCTGCGGCTCCGCGCCGTGCCCGCCTGGACCGTGCGCCGCCTCAAGACCGAGCTGCGCCAGCTCCTGCCCGACGCGCCGGTGAGTGCGACACCCCCCTGCCCGCCTTCCCCTTCCCGCAGCCCCGCCGGGTGGGGGTACCGGGTCCCCGCGGGACAGCGACGAGAGCCCCCGTGGGACTCCTGTGGGGCTCCTGGGGCTGTCACCTGTCCGCCCCCCCGTCCCAGGGTGTCCCGGTCCCGGCACCTGAACCCCCCTGCCCCGGGGTGTCCCGGGCCCGGTTGCATCAGCCTCGGGTTATTTTGGGACTCGGTCTGTGGCTCGGCCGCGGTTAATCATTAACCGCCCTCCCGGGACGGCGTGTCCTGCGGGTGTTTAAAGACGTCATCGCCGGCGGGAGGCACCGGGCTGTGCCGGTGAGCGCCGCACCCACCGGGAGCAGCGAGCGCGGAGCCTCCTCCGGCGGGGTTTGGAGGCTGTACCCGCCGAGCGGGAGGCACAGCGGCGGGACGGGGCTTGTGCGGCTGTTCGGGGTTGAAATGCAGAAGTGTCGCTGCCCCCTGAGCCGCAGGACTCGAGGGCTGACACGTGAGAGCTGCTGGAGCAGCTGCGCCCCGTGACCCGCTGCTCCCACGGGAGGCGTCCCCGCAGGAGGGGGTGTGCTCTTCACGGGGTCAGAGAGGTTGGAAAAGACCTCCAAGATCGTCAAGTCCGACCTTTGGCCGAACACCACCGTGCCCGCTAACCCGTGTTGTGAAGTGCCATGTCTGCTCATTTTTTTGAAGACTCCCAGGGACTGTGACTCTACCCCCTCCCTGGACAGCCCGTTCCAATGCTTAACCACTCCTTCAGCGAAGAAATATTTCGTAACATCCTGAGCCTGCTCTGGCGAGCCTAAGGCCGTTTCCCCCTGTCCTGGTGCTTGTTGCCTGGGAGAAGGTCTGACCGCCTCGTGCTTTTGCCCTGCTCTCCAGGGAGTGAGGTGACTGCCCAGAAATGGGCTCTGGGCCTGCTGTGCTGCAGGGGGACAGCTCCAGGTGAAGAGCTCCTGGGACTCATTGGATGGGCTGTAACAGATTTACAGCTCTCAACAGATTTACAGCTCTCGTGCTGATCAGATTGGAGGGAACTCCAAACCTGTTTCTGGGAAACACAAATGTTTTTGTCAGGATTGTAAAAGAGATGGCACGTAACCAAGTCCTTTGCCAAAGGGGCTTTATATCCTCCTGCTGGTTTAGACCCCACTCAAGTAATTTAGACGTCACTCAAGTAATGTCACACTTGGGCGTTCAGTTGTGCACATCTAAATTCAGCTAAAGTGACCAATTCCCTCTGCCCCTTAATGTGTGGGGTACTCCCAGCTCCCTGCCTCTTGTCTGGCTGTAAGTTGTGTCAGTAGTTCTTGTGTGTGCTTGGCAGAGAAGTCATCCTACTCTTTGTTTTCTTTCTTCAAAGCCTGAAGAGGACCAAAAGCTGATTTATTCTGGGAAGCTGCTGCTTGATCATCACTGTTTGAGAGAACTGCTGCCAAAGGTATAAAAAATATCTTTTGCCATGTGCTGAAATATATCAAGAGAAGTGATTTTTTTTTAACATGTTTTCCCTTACATTTTTAGCATGAGGAATTGCATGCTCTTCATTTGGTGTACAAATTCAAGACTCCTGCAAATGTGCAAGAAACCAAATCAGAGGTACTTAAGCTAAGTTAACAAGCTGCTCTGAATCTTGGGACTCTAACTAAAAATGAGAAGTGTTGAATGGCCATTTTAAAGTTCTGGTACTGCAGGTTTTCCCTGTTAATTAGCAGCAGTATGAGTTTGTGATACTTTGTTTAGGAATGTGAGAATGTATTTGGATTAAGCTGAGTAAAAAAAATTGACTCTACAATTCATCAGTAAAGATTCTCATGACATCTGTTAAGAAATATGAGAACTATCATGTAGTTGTAACACACTGCTCAGGGGAGAAACGCTTTCTGGTAAATTCATTTTTAGTAAATAGAATATGACTTGTCATGTTCCAGGCTCTCTTAGACTGAGCTTGTGGGCAGAACGCACAGAAGTTGGGGAAGTGGTTCTGATCTGTATGGGGAAGGAAGAAAGCTGAGAGCTCGGACACTTTAACTGCTCTCATTAATGACTCATCTTTGGCTTCCTCTCTACAGGCTGAACCTTAGAGCTTGAACTTAGTACTTACTGTTTTCAAGTGCAAATGGCCAAACCCAGTCCTTACTTTGAAGTGGGTGGGCAAATGTTTCTAGACGTGTGTTCCTGTTGCCCATTATAGGCAATTTGAGCTTACCCTACCAGTGCTTGGTGGTTGCTAGAGGTGAGCCAACTTTGGCTGGATATTATACAGATTTATCACCACAGAACAGCTCTTGAACTCTGTGTACAGCAGGTGGTGCATGCAAGTACAAACTTGCCATAATAAAAAGCCAAACTGCCTTGCGTGCAGTTTCCTCTGTTCCCTCTGATTACATTTTTATAACCAGATGGGCACTGAATGTGTGCAGGAGAAGTAATAAGTACAGTGTAGATCTGGTGAAAGGGAAGAGTAACATCAAGTCAATTTTGCATCCCAGTCATTTTTTTTTAAAGGAGCTTTAAAGTACTGTTGGAGGTGGTGCCCAAAAGCAGTGTCAGCGCTGAGTGGTGCCATGCAGGGTTAAGTGTGTGAGCTGGGTTAGGAGTGTTAAAAAAAGAACGTATTCTGGGTGATGTAACCTTTTTGCATAAGGTGTGTGTGGTGTCCTGAGTGAACCTCACTGGCTGCACTGTTCTCTCTAGGTTAAAGCTGATCAGCCCAAGTCGTCACCAGAAGCCAGTCAGGAACCATCTGTATCTTCCTCAAATGGTGGAAGATTGAATTGCTCTTCAGGTGGCCAGTCTTCAGCAGAAGCCAGTAATGGGTAAGTACATTTTTATGTACATAAGTAAGATTTAAAATGTTGTGTTTGTGTTTGGATACCAGCTCCTTATGCCACACATACTGTCTTACGTTCACAGAACATGGGCCAAATATGAGACTATATATAAAAACTTTAGAGGACATAGAATAATTGGGGTTGGAAGGGACCTTTAAAAGCAAACCTCAAGTCATGAGGGGCACCTTCAACTAGATCAGGTTGCTCAGAGCCCTGTCCAACCTGGCCTTGAACACACCCAGGGATGTGGCATCTAAAGGAAAATGCACTGCTCTGTTAGTTGAAAATCTTCCTTTTATTCACATGGGTAAAGATGCATCTCTAATATTCTAGAAGGAAGAATCAGTTTTCCATCTCAATGCACGGAATGGCAGAACCTGTTTACATTGTTCTGTAATAAATTACTCTTGCTGTTTGTCCAGTGTTTGCTAATGAATGTGTTCAAATTTTGACCAAGGCTGGAAACGACTCGGCATCCCTTCCAGAGTGTGGCTCCCGGCTTCTCTGCTTACACAACCTACAGCATGCTGCAGATGTCGTGGTTCCAGCAGATCTATGCAAGGCAGTACTACATGCAATAGTAAGTGTTCTGTCCTAAGCTACCAGTAGGAAGGAGAAACTGTAATACAAGAAGTTGAGAGCTCCTGGCAGTTCTTCCTCTTTTGATGGTGTTTGGAGACTCTTTTTCTTTGGAACTTGTGCTGAATGGTGAGGGAATGCACCTCTAACTGCCATGTGGTCTCTGTTGCTGTTCAGGCCACTGATTCTGAGTCTCGCCCCCTGCAGATCTCTGACTGATCAGGAGGGCAGGAGTCTCCAGAGAAAATGTAATCCTGCTGATGAGCCTTAGCTCTTTTTTTGACTGCTCCAAGTAGCACGCAGCTGCTTTGACTGGAGATTGGTGACAGAGGTCAAGCTGAGACTGGCAGAAGGCTTTTAGGCAGATTGCTCTAAATTTTTTTGTGAAGTATTGATGTTATTCATATAGGGGAGTGTGCCTGGTTTGACTGGCTGAGGTCACTGTACAGCTCTAATGGGTAGAACTAAAACTTTTTAACCCTCCTGTAGCCTTTAAACTTGATGCTTTCTGCTTGCATGTGATGACTCTGTTCTTAAAGACGGACAGATTTTTCAGTGCCTGTGTTAAGTGTGAAAAGATTTGACTAAGCCTCATTCTGTACTCTGCTCTCTGGTTCCAGCTTGGCTTCTACTGCTGCATCTGGTGACCCATCCCATGCACAGCGTTCTCAGGAGATACCAGTGGCACCAGTGACACCTCCAGCTCCTCTCCCAGACCCATTTCCTGCACAGAACCAGCCTGGGAACCAGAATGCTGCTGCCCAGGTTAACGCAGTGGCCAACCAGAACCTGCGGATGAATGCCCAAGGGGGTCCTCTCGTGGAGGAAGAGGAGGAGGGTGGCAATCGGGACTGGCTGGACTGGCTCTACTCAGCAACACTGTTATATGTTTTTGTCAACATGGTCTATTTCTACTCCAGTATCAGCAGACTCCTCCTGGTTATGGGCGGCACCTTTCTGATGTATCTGTAAGTGTATGGGATGAATATTTACTCTTCAGAAGCGTTCCACTGAAGTACTGAGCTCAGTGCTGCGCTCAGCTACCTCACCACTTGTACCTGGAAAGGGCCAACCACTCCTCTGTCGTGGTATAACTCAGTATTTAGCAAAAATATAAGTGCCTGTGCCTGGATTAAATGAAGAATGTGGCTGATAGCAGGTGATCTCCCTGGGGTTTTGTACTGATGCTTCTGGGGTGGCTGGCTTTCTATTTTAGAAAAACTACTTAAAACCAAAGTAGCTCCCAGTATAAAGCCCCAGCAACTTGGCAGTGTAGAACAGACAGACCTGTAGGTTCAGTGTAGAAAATGACAGTTGTTTCTTGGGAAAAAAGTCATTGAAGTCTGGGAAGAGGGTCTCTCACCTGCTGTTTCAATCATGCACTGATGTGGGTTTTTCTGTTGTGTGTTGCCTCTCTGGAGAGCAGATCAGACTGAACTGAATGCAGTGTCCTGAAATGCCTTTGAACCTCTCTGTGGGGGGAAAAACCCACAATAATGAGTGGGCCCTCAGCTGCCATACTTGGGATGTCTTGTCTGAGAAAGATAATCTGTCCTCTAAAATTCTCTGATACCAGTAAAGCAAGTGGTGTAGGCCTCTGAATTCCTGTTGGTAGGTGTAGGAGTTAAAACTGGAGCAGCTCTTCCAACATCTATGCAGACTTGGAGAGTGAAGGTTAATTGTTTCATTAAGTCTCTAAATTTTACTGTTGATATTTCTGAGGTGTAACTTGGAACAACTTATCTTGTGGGTTACAAGGTGCTGTAGGGACACAGACCTTCTGACGAGGTCTGTACTTTTTGTGAGATAGTGCTGGTTTTCTATATTCTTTGTCATGCCCTTTTTTTAGGGTGAGTACAGAGAAGTTATCCAGGGTTGTACAAACATGGTAATCAAGCAGGCTCTTTGTACCTCCAGCAGAATGCTGGGTGCAGATCTGGATGTAGTGCTGCTTGCTTGGAATGGGAGCAGATGCTCCCCTTCCCCTCCAACCCCATGGTTTGCTGCGAACTGGAGGCTTTGAAAGTACTAAAATGGGTCAGGGCTGAAAGACCTTAATATGCTGAACTTGTTGCCAGCAGCTCTGAGCAGTCAGATGTGGAGCTGTTGGTGTAACAGGAGGGAGTAATGTTGAAACAACGTTAATTAAAATCTGTTGCCTTCCCCAGGCACCACGCTGGATGGTTCCCATTTAGGCGAAGACCAGTTCAGCCCTTCCCAGGCAATGTTCCTCCTCAAGCTGCTCCAAACCAGGACCAGAACAATAACTTAGAGGTATTGTCTTGCTGTATTTTTAAACCATAGGAATGAAACCCTGTCAAGTTTCACTTTTGGTTTATTTATTATGTGTAGCAAAAGCTTCCCTCTAAACTTGTATAAGAAACTGTCTTCCATGGGGGAATAATTTGCAACTGAGTCCTCCACTGGTGTAGTGTATTCATTCCTTTGTTCTACAAAATACTTCAGACTGAATGTTATCTTTTGGTTGCTTCTGTCCTTTAGGAAGTTGTAATGGAGAGTGGTCTGTCACAGTCTGTAACTGAGAACAGGGTTCAGACTACACCTCTGTAGGATTTGGGTCTGCAAACAGTGTGTGAGTCTTGCATTTCGAGCTGACGCTTCTGGTTGATGTCAGTGAAAGTTAGTTGGCTGTAAATACATAATTCACCTGATCTGGTGCTGCATGTCTGTCCTAGACAGTGTTTTTGGACACACAGTGAGGGTTAACCAGTGTGCAGCTTGGTTTTTTGACTTTGTGTCTGGGGATACTTAGAAGATTTTATATTCAGACAGTGACACTTGGGCAACAAAACCTGCTATTTGATCCCTGATTCTTGTAATGCGTTTCTGAAACTCTCATTTACCAAATATCCTTTACTTTGGCAGGGAGGAAATGCAGGCAGAGCAGATGCATCCGAGGCACCTCCCGATGAGGGACAGGCTTTACAAGAACTGCAGCAGGCTAATCCTTCACTTATGAGCACAGCCTGGGTGTTTTTCAAGACATTCTTTGCATCCCTCCTTCCAGAAGGGCCTGGAGTGACCCAGAACTGATTTGTCACCGATCTGCTTGTCTTGAAACTGCAGTGGGCACCTGAGACAATCCGATACCAACTCCAAACCAGACGTGGAAGGCACTTCCTCTGGCTTTCACTGGCCAAGCAAATAAAGCTGCAAAGAAGCCTTACGTCGTTACAACCTAGAGACTAAAATGCTTGTCCTCATTCCAAAGAACTTTGTTCCACAGCATTTATTAGGTACCTGTGTAGAGGCTTGGCGTTGTGAACTTGTGCACTAAATGCACAGGCTCCGAGCGGGTGTGCAAAAATGTTAGAGAAGCAAATTGCTTCTTCTGTGCAACGTGATTCCTGTTGGAATGTTTCAAATGCTATTTTAATTACACTGAGTGTAGGATCTCAAAAAGAAAAAAAAAAATTTTTTTGCTAGATATGCATTAGCGGATTTTTAGGGAAAATCCATTGTTAAATTGCTTCAACCGTATTTTTAATTTTCTTTGTAAATATTTTCCTATGAAGGATGTGTTGTGCAATCTCCTTGTTGGACAAAGTGGAGGACTGTAAGACAGTAACCTGGATAAGCAATTACCTCAGTGGAGCTGCAGACTGAATGTCACGTTGCCAAATTCAAGTAGTTTAAACTCAAGGTTTAATTCTCCTCCTACCCCCCTCTACCCCCACCGCCAAATAATGGGAGAAGAGCGTGTTCAGGTCTGTGTAGCAAAAGGTGTAAACTTTATTATGTAAACTTCACTCCTTTTGGATGCAAAGTCGAAGTAGTCTAATATCTCTATTCAACTTTGCATCCTCATTCCACTGTGTCTCTCCTGTATTATTTCATTGTGTCCCCTTTCATTTCTGATATGGTTAAGGGCTGTGATTCCAATAAAATTTGCAGGCATTTATATCTGCATTTGTGTACACCCTACAGCAATTGGAAGACTACCTGTGCAAAGCACAGGATGTGCTCTTGCTTTGTTTCGTCATGGAAAAATTATGAGTTGGGATATGAGGGGCAAAGATGCTTGCAGAGCCTTAAACTCAGTTCCTTGCCTGTGTTCTCCAGCAGCCTTCAGCAGTGCCTTGGGTAGCTTGTGTTTGCTCACTGACAGTGGCTGACACGAATGGCCACGGGCAGGAAATTCCACAGGTATTTGGAAATTTTGACCTCTTGAGCTCTGTATGTGACTGCTGGTGGAGTTGCAACACACTGTCTTGGCCCAGGGTTTTAACTTAGCTTGAAATGTGCTGTCCAGGAACAGCTGCCACTCATGGAACTTGGAATGCTTTTCCTCAGTGTTGCCTGCACTTGGCAGGGCAGTTTGTTTAGGAGTGTCTCATCAGGGCTGACATGCATGAGTTGGTACAAGCAGTTGTAACTGCTTGATCTTGCCACTTCAGGCTGATGTTAGACATGGTTTGTTGGTGTTTTCCTGTGGTAGGGAGCTTAATCCTAGTGGTGTTTTTGCTTTGAGCAATTCCTTTTCCAGCTCTATTACTGAGTTGATTTCCTGCCACATCTTCAGTTTGCTGGAGACTTTTGGAAGATGGGTAGGACAATGGTAAAATACTCTTTAAATATTTAGAATTAAGTAATTTGAGATGAGGTGAGTTTTGTTAATTCAGGTATATCCTGCATAAGCCTTTGAGGATGTTCTTGGAGGAGATGCCCCCTCTTTCTTGCCTTGCTGGTGCTCTGACTGTTCAGATGCCACTCTGGGAGTTGCAGATGGTGAACAAAGGCATCCCCAGAGTTGTGTGCCCTCAGGCTGTGTCCCTGTGCCCTTTGGTAGGCACAGGGTGGGTTCCAGGTGACAGCTCTCACTGCAGCTGCATCCTGAGCCACTGCACTGGGGGGATCCCACAAGTGTTTTGTGGATGATGGAGTTTTGGTTTTGGGTTTTTTTTCCATTTAGAGTGTAGCAAACAATCACTCAGGTGTCTTGGCAAAGCGCCCACATCAACTGAGCTGTGCCTGTGCCCAATATTGGCAGGAGAGGGGATTTCCTGGCAGCCAGGAATAAACTGGGTATGGTTTAGGCAGCAAGCACATAGTGCTGGATTACTTGCAAAACCTCTAATCTGACAGCAAAACATCTGTTGTTGTCCTGAGGCTTTTGCTGCTCCCATGAGCAGGCAGATTGGTTTAAAATTAGTTGGAAAACTAGTGATGTGTAGCTAATGCCACTGGAGGGGTGCAGTGAGGCTCCTGGGCCTCTGAGTGTTTCCTTAATGGCTCAGTGAAAGGCATGACCTCTGCCACTGGGTGGAGGGAAGCTGTGAGTGCAGCAGAGGACATGTAATGTGGAAGTAAATGCTGTATAATCCTGCAGAGGCAGCTGCCAGCGGTGCACCCGGGCAGGAGCACCAGGATATGAGAGAGCAGTGCCTGGCTGAGGGCTGTGAACATGTTACTGATCCAGCCAGCCTGGTGTTACATGGAGCTGGGAGTCCGAGGTGGCCCTAACCCCTGCCACTAATCCCCAACCAGTGGAGGCCTCTGTTTTGCCTGAGACAGGCTGGGAGCAAGCAGGGATGGCTGAAGTGTGGAAGGAACTGTGTCAGCTCAGCCTGGAGGGATGGCAATGCAAACAGTGAGGTATGTAAGGAGGGATGGCAAGGAAGGGGATACAGCCTGCAATGCCAGCTGTGGGTGACAGCACGAGCCTGAAGGGGAGGGAATCCAGGTCAGACACCAGAAAAAAATGAGCCTTGAATCTTCCAGAGCAAAGCTACTGAAAGAGCATAGGAATTCCAGAGAGGTTTTCTGGGAGTAACTTCTGTGCCCTGTGCCGGGATGGAATCTGCAGAGAACAGAAGGGGCCTTGAGGCTGTGGGTTTAGGAGGTTGGGTTTGTCTTGGCTCACACTTCAAGCTGTGTCGTTCTGCTGCTGGTTTAGCTCCTCTGCACACTCGTGAGCACAGCTACACAGAGGTGTGCTAGAGCAGCTCTGCTGCAGAGCTGTACCTGGTCAGGTCAGGTGCAATCCTGTGCAACCTGAGGCTTTTTGTGTGGGATTCCCCGAGAGCAGGCGGGTTGTGCAGCAGTGACAGTCCACAGGGTGGCAAAGTGAGCAGCGGGATAAAGCCAATCCCTCTGCTGTCGTGTGTCCTGATACGCTCTGGCAGCTTGTTCGGGTTGAGAGCAGTTCTCTGTCCTTGCTGAAAAACAAGTCAGGGGAGAAATGAAGTCTGTTCTTCTCAGGCATTTTTCTTGTTGCAGAAACTCCCAACAGGCTGCTTACTTGGGAAACCACTGAAGTCCTGTTTGTCACCGTGGATATGCTCCTGTCCTCCACTTGTGGAACATAAATCTCATGAGAAGGAGGTTGCTGCTGAGCAGATAAGCTGTGGATGATGGGGTGTGGGTGTGTGACTTCCTCTCTTCTCTGAAGAGCTGTTTCACTTGTGCACGTGCTTGTTCCTGTTCTCAGAAGCCAGGGACATCCCAATAGCTGTGCACTTGCCCAGCTGAGTGTTACAACCTCCCTCTGGTCTTTGCCCTGTGATCCATCTCTGGCTGTGAGGCTGGTGGGATTTGCAAAGCTGTGCATCCAAAGGGTCTCTCTCCTCCGAGGCCATCCCAGCGCTGTTCCCCCATTGCATCACCAAACACTCCAGCTGCATCTTCATCACCTCACCTCAGCCCCTCTGCTTCATAAGAATAGCCCTTGAAATGTCTGCTAGTATTTAACGTGGTCTGAATATCAAAAGGAATGAGATCATAGAGGTGACCCAGTGCTGTTGTACAGCCTGGTCCCAAACCTGCAGTGAGGGGCTTGGGGTCAGTTCATACTCAGCTGCCTGCCTGGGAGGGTTGGGCAAATCCTGGGAAATGCTGCTTCTGGGCCCATGTCTTGTGCCTGCTCAAGTGGCCTCTGCTGCTGAAGAACCATCCCAATTTCTTATATTAGCACTGAAAGTTGTATTTGCTGATCTTTCAGTGTGGATTTGGCAGTGCAGGATCAGTGCTGCAGAAACACAGCTGGCTGTGCTTCCAGCTCCAACCCAGCTGCCCTGGGCAGCCCTAGTCGTGAAAAGCCTGGGTTGACCCCGGGCCACCTGTGTGTACCAGCTTATTTTTTCATTTTTGGATGTTGTTATGGATGATACTGTTATGGAAGAGAAGGAATTGAGTTGATTTCAGGAGAATTTGGTTGAAAACCATGTGAAATCTTATCGGTCAAAAAACCTTCTTGGGTGGCTTACCTGCCCAGCCTGTGAAAACCTCACCATTCACAAACAGGAGATTGTGAGGGGTTTGTTTTTGTTTTTTTTTTTTTTGGTTTGGTTTGGTTTGGTTTTTTGTTTGTTTTTTGTTTTTTGTTTTTTTGCTGCCTAACACCCAAGCCTGTCATGGTCATAACTTTTAACTGTGAGAAATAATCTGACTGGGGTATAGATGGAGCCCTGCTAGGAAGGGTCAGTGGATTTGGTCCTTGGAGCTGCAGTGGGGTATCCCCCTTGGCATCAGGACATCATCAATGGAAACTGAGGCTGAGAGCCCTTGCCTTATTTTGTGATTGCACATTCTATGTTACTCTTCCTAAAACCTTGCGAATTTTTGAGTTAGTTGGGTTGTACCAATTCCACTCGACATCACGAGGCTGTATTCAAATGTTGGGAGAGCTTTAACTGGTTTTTAAAAAAATCTTGGTTTAATATGTTATTTGTCTGCATTTTGTAAGCCTCTAGGAAAGATGGGAGCAGTGGTCTTGGGCTGACCCTCCTGCCAGCCCTGGGCTGAGCTGCTGTGTAAGTCCTGGCAGTGGTGCTGGAGCCCATCCTGCTGACAGAGCAACGTGGGGACAGGGTACCTGGAAGGCTCTCTCAGGAAGCAGCTGCAGGGTAGCACCAAATGTTTGGGTCACAAACAATGCAGCACAAAGATTAATGGCACTGTGATGTACCTCTGCCCTGGACAGCGTGGGGAAAAACAACCTCAGTTGTAGGACAGTCCCCAGCAAGGTGGTGAGTACATGTGTGCATGCACAGCCTTCAGATACAGCCTTACACAGCAAATATTTATCAAAACATCTTCCAGCATCCCCTTTGGACGTACTGCACTTGGTGTGTTTACCTTTTCTTTGGTGTTTAAAGCCTGTCCTGTCTCCTGCTAGCCAAAATTAACCTTTCTTTAGGCTTGTAAATCTGACCTGACTCCTCCTAGCCTGACCTTCCACTGGGAGGAGGGTGGGCTGTGGAGTCCCTGCTGCCTTGGCCTCTGCCTGGTCACTCTAGGACAAGGATGCTCACAGCATCTCTGTGTTCCACATGCTTTTGCTATTGTAGGCAGAAAGTCTCCAGCCTTCCTGTTCCCACTGGAGGTCAATGCCCGGCAGTTCCCTGTCCTCCTTTTCTCTCAGCTCTGGTTGTCTGTTGACAGCAGGCTCTGCAGCAGTGATGGGGTGGGGGAGCTGGCCTGTGAGGGGGCTGTAAATGCACTGGATCTACCATTTGGGTCTGGAGTCTTGGGTTTTCTGCCTTTGCCTACCCTGAGACACTGGTGACAAATACCCCTGTATCGAAATTCCCATTTTACCTTTCTTCCATGCTGGTATGAATTGCTGCCCTGGGCAGAGAGCTGGCTGTGGCCTCTTGGGTCCTGCTCTACTTTCCCTTACAGTGACCAACACCAGCCTCAATGGGGCTGCTTCCCTGCTGTAGTGTCTCCTCTGGATCTGCTCCAGTAAAACTTTAACTGTGTGCAACACTCCTGAGTTTGTGCCCTACAATAAATGGGATTGTGTCTTTTCTCTACTGAAAGCTTTGCTGAGGGTGCAGGCACATGTGCTCATGTGATACCCAGCACAACAGCATCTCTGTCAGTTTGTCATAGAATCCCAAAATGGTTTGGATTGGAAGGAACCTTAAATCTCATCTTGTTCTAACCCTCTTCTGTGGGCAAG